CATATGAAGACAAAAGGCATAGGATTGGCAAATGACTTCATAGAGTGGAGGATGACCTCCTCTAAGTGTCTACAGAGGGGGATACCCATGGGATGTGAGACAGTTTACCCTGCAGAACCCAGAAAGGCTCAGGAATTGGAGATACCAGAGATCATAGAAGATGGGTGAGCCAGTGGGCTGAAAACAGCAGTCGTTGGAAATGCATATAAAGTGTAGTTAGACCAGTTCCTTCTCACCATCCCCACCCTGCAGAAAAAAGAAAGTAGATGCTCTGGAGACCCTTGGGTTTTAGTGACCTCTTGGCCAGCCAGGGATGCAGAGTGAGCTGGGCAGGGGCAGAGAGAGATGGTCTTGTACCACAAAAGATGAAAAGTTGCCTCTAGATAAAGAAGGGACTCTTGAAGAGCTTCACTCTGAGTGAAAGTATGAATTAGACAAGGAACACTCAACAAACCTGGCCACAAAGCAAAACAAGGAAATTTGTCTTGGCCTGGACCCTAGCAGAGAAAATATTCTACCCCCACCTCCAATCTCAGTTGCAACTACTCTGCCCTTTTAGTGCAAAAGCTGCCATAGACTACATGTAAATAAGTTACAGTGGCTCATTAACTGTCTGTGTTCTAGTCAAACTTTATTTATAGACCCTGACATTTGAATTTCATATGATTTTCACATACCATGAAAGATTCTTTTGATTTTTTTTCAACTATGTGAAAACTAGTCTTAGCTCTCCGGCTGTATAAAAAGAGGCGGCAGGCTAGATTTGGCTGTGGGCTGCAGTTTGCTGACCACTAAACTAGACTTGAAATAAACGTGTTAAAATTTAAGGATGAGCATTCCCCCTGTTTCTCTCAGTGCAAAAGAAAGCAAGAAAGGAAAGGAAAAAAACAATAGACACAGCAGGACAAGTAGAAAGTTCAAAATATTTTAGAAATAGATTAATAAATACATTAAATGTAAGTGGACTAAACTTACTAGTTAAAAGACAGATTGCCAGAAGGGACTTTTTTAAAAAATCCAAATATATGTTGTGTTAAAAGAGACATACCCTCTCCCCAAAAAAGAGACATACACCAAACATAGGGTACATTAAAGTTCAAAGTAAAAGAAAGGAAAAAGTTATACCGAGAAAATACTTAAAAAAGAAAAGTTGATATGTTTCTGACAAAATATACTTTACATCAGACTTCATTGTTAAGAATAAGGAGGGCATTATGTGATGAGAGAAGGAGTCTTTTTTTTAAACCAGGAATATAGAATAATTCTAAATTTGAATGTACCTAACAGTGTTATCTAGCATATATACGTACCTAACAACATAGATACATAGATACAGACATAAATATCTATATAGCTGTGACAGTTATCTACATGTAGCAAAAACTTACAGAATTGCACAAAGAAATTGACAAATGCACCATTATAGCAAAAAATTTTAACATAAGAATTTGAATCATTGAGAGATCAGGCAGGTAAAACTTTGGTAAGGATACGGAAGATATGATTCCAACAGTTATCAAGCTTTCTCTGTTGGACATATAGAGAACCCTATACCCAACAATTGCTTGGATAAAAATTCTTCTCAACTTTATTTGGAAATTTTATTAAAATTGATCACATACTAGGCTAAAAAGCAAGCCTCATCAATGTCAAAAATCAGTGTAAGACAAATTAACCTAGGTGGCAAAAGAGAATGATAGTAGAAAAAATTTAAACTTAAACTGTAATGAAAATACATGCAAACAATACTTGTGGAATGCAGTTAAGTGGTACCTAGAGGCAACTGTAGAGCCTTAACTTATTTATTAGGATAAAAGTCTGAAAATTAATGTAGTTGACCAAGTTTATATATCCAAAAAAGAAAAAAAGAATAAACTCAAAGGAAAAGAGAGGAACATGATGTGATGATTTTAGACAAATTCTTCCAGAGAGAAAGAATATACTCTGGCTCATTTTAGGAGGCCAGTGTATCCAGACAGGTACATTATGAGAAAGGAAATTTATAGGCCATTTTCATTTATGAATATGAATTTTTTTAAAAACACTTAAATATTAGGAAACCACATCCATCAATGTTTTTTAAAAGCATAAAAACATCATAACCAAAGTAGGATTTATTCTTAGATTGCAAGCAAGTCCAATTATCACAAAGAAGGCAATTTTCAAACCTATAAATTAAATGCAGTTCCAATCCAAATCCCAAAGGCACTTTTTTTTTAATGGAACTTGACAAGCTGATTAAAAGTTTTATAAAAGAGTAAAGAGCCAAGAATAATCAAAAACGGTTTTGAAAAAGAACAAGGTGGTGGTGGTGGGACTTCCCTACTAGATATTAAGACCTATTATAAAGTCAATTTTTATCTTTTTATAAAGTAACAGTAATTAAGACAAAGTGCTTTACACACAGTGATAAACAGACCAACATAGCAGTCTAGAAAACCCAAAAACTGACCTGGCTGTGTATAGAAGACATACTCCAGAGGCAGCGCTGTAAAAGAGTAGGGAAAAGGAGGGGCTGTTCATAAGTGGTGCTTGAACAGGAGGTTACCTAAGTGGGGAAAATTGGATTCCTACCTCACAGTAGGTAGGAATACCTAACACAAATATAAATTCCAGGTAGATTATAGAGACTTAAATCTGGAAAACCAAAATTTAAAAATTTTACAAGAAAATAGGGAATGTGTTTATGAACTCATGGTAGGAAAGCTTTCTAAAATAAGACATGCTGTACAAATCATGAAGAAAAAGATCGACAAATGCAACTATCTTTATATTTAAAACTTCTTTTATTAAATAATGGCATTAAAAAGTGAAAAAACAATTCACATGACGGGAGAAGATACCTGCTATGCATCTAGAATATATGAAAAAAAGAAAATTGCATTGCAAATAAGTGCAAATCACAGACCAGGAAACCTGGCCAATAACTGTCTGAAAAGCTGCTCCAGCCCACTGGTAACCATCATGTTGGCCCCACTCACGTAAGCAGAACAAGTTAAATGATGATATTTATATTACGCATAGACATTAACCTTTGTTCTTATTATCTTTAAGCTAAATCAGGGTGTAGGGCCTTAAACCAGTCTCTGAGGCATGTCCAGTCTCTGGGAAAACAGGAACATCAGTCATCAGGGAGGAAAAACAGAAGATTATCAGGAACTGAGACCAGACCTTGGAAGCCCGCCTGGAGACCAGATGTCTGAAGAAACCACGTTCCCAAAATAGTTTCGTGCATGCCTACATATCCTCCCCCCATAACTGGCCTGTAGTCTTTGTCCTGGAAGATGGGCTCTGAGGATGTTAGTGCACCATCTTCCGTCTTTGCTGGCAGAAATGAATAAACCCTTTCTATTCCACCGACTTGCCTCCTGACTTTTTGGCAAGTCTTGCAGCAAGCAGAACGAGCCCAGTGCTTGGTAACAATCAGGGAAAAGCAATTAAAATCAGATGAGATACATTTCAGGCCTCTGATGGGAAAAATAAAACGTTGACAAGATCCAAACGATGGCAGCTTCTTTTTGGAACAAAGGAGATTGTTCATTTACTTGTGGTGGGTACACTTGTGGTAGACTCTCCACTTTGAAGAGTAATTTGGCAATGTCTGGTCACAGTGAAGATGTGCACATTTTACGGTTCATCAATCCACTCTTAGCAGTGTCTTCAGAATTCTGAGGAGTGGGAAAGGTATGATAAATATGTTTTCTAAATTTAGAAATTTGCCTCCCATGCATCTGTTCTCGGGGAACTACTAGGGGATGTGCTTCAGCAAAATAAGGGAGTAACATAAGAAAGAGGAACATGTAGAATCCAAGGCATGGGTTCAACACAGCAGAGTCTAAGAAAATTCCTAACTGATGACAAACAGAAGTCACAAAACACCTGAACAGAAGGCCTAGAGAGCAACCACTGCAGATGTGAGCAGATGTGTGGAAGATTCCAGGGAGGACAGTGGAACCGATAAATCACCTGATACATGTGACCCTGTGGATAGTTATCTTGAGAGTTGTTTTATAGAGGTGTTAAGAATTGTGAGAAGACGTAACCACAAAGAAAGGTCTTTATTTCACCCTCAGCTCTGTTCACAGCATCCCAGTGCCTGGCACGTTGTAGGCATTCAGAAATCTTTGTTAAATGGATGACGCATGTACTTGAAGGTGGCAGAAGTGAAGTTGACTAAAAGTGGGAAAGAAGGAGGAGAACTGGCTGAGACAATAAAGCACACCAGGGAAAATAAGAGGATGAAATGGGTGATAGGAGACAAGGAATATTTAAGGACAATTTGATGCAACATCTGGGAGCAATTCTGGTGGGTTTGAAGGTGTAAGATGTATAAGATATAAGTGAGATTCAAAAAAGATGTAGTTGTGGATGACCTTGAGTTCAGATTTTATAAAATAAGGCTGTTGCCAACAACAGACATCTCAGATTTCCTGCCAGTTATTCGGTTCCACACTTAGATGGCTGGTGTTCTAATCCACTTGGGCTATTGGCTTATTCAGCTAATATTTAACAAGCTTCTCCGTGGTACCCAGCACCATCCAGAAGCTGGGATTTTAATGGCGAGCACAATCAGATATTGTCCCTGCCCTGATGTGCAGTCTGTTACTATGCTTATCCTTCTGTTCAGGAGGTTTAGAATATGGATGTATCCAGCCTGAAATATTTTCTAAGCCTGGATTCACTCTTAGGAAAATGACTTTGAAATTTACACTAACTCTAGAAATTGAAACTCATTGCTTTTCATTTCACCAGGAGTTAGTATCTAAAATAATAAGCTTTATGGCCAATTTTCCTAGTCAAATTGGATATGATTTTTGTTATTAGAAACATATATTATCTTGATAACTAAATTTGGTAATCATTCTTCTTGGCTGGTGATCTTTATCTGCGTATGAACTTTGCACACGTTACTTGAGAAACACACACCCTTCACGGTAGGTCCTGCTCAGTGCTGTCAGTGTTGCTCTCTCTCACCTCCTCTTCTCGGTGTCCTTTCGCAGGGATCGTATTTGCACATTATGGTCCAGTCTGGAGACAGCAGAGGAAGTTCTCTCATTCAACTCTTCGTCACTTTGGCTTGGGAAAGCTTAGCTTGGAGCCCAAGATTATTGAGGAGTTCAGCTATGTGAAAGAGGAGATGCAGAAGCATGGAGAAGGCCCCTTCAGCCCCTTCCCCATTGTCAGCAAGGCCGTCTCCAACATCATCTGCTCCTTGTGCTTCGGCCGGCGCTTTGATTACAACAATAGTGAGTTTAAGAAAATGCTGGATCTTATGTCACGAGCATTAGAAATCTGTCTGAACACCCAGCTCCTCCTGGTCAACATATGCTCCTGGCTTTATTACCTTCCCTTTGGACCGTTTAAGGAATTAAGACAAATTGAAAAGGATATAACCACTTTCCTTAAAAAAATCATCAAAGACCATCGGGAGTCTCTGGATGTAGAGAACCCTCGGGACTTCATAGATGTGTACCTTCTCCACATGGAGGAGGAGAGGAAAAATAACAGCGAGGGTAGTTTTAACGAAGATTACTTACTTTATATCATCGGAGATCTCTTCTTTGCTGGGACTGATACCACAACTAACTCTTTGCTTTGGTGCCTTCTGTATATGTCACTGAACCCTGATGTGCAAGGTAATTAATAGATGTTTCCTTTGTTCATCGCAAAACCAGGTTATTTAAATCAGGATCAGCAACTTTAGTGATCCTGTGGTTCCTAACACTAAGCAATGTCTTCAGGCTGGAAAACAAAATGGAAATACTTGCATCTCATAGGGAATTGTTAAGGTATTTACAGTGAAACTCCAAATTTCTAGACAGGACTAACGTCCTAACTTCCTCGCCCCTGTTTTAAATCTCTGCAGGTCAGGCCAGCCCTGTGGCTTAGTGGTTAAGTGCACGTGCTCTGCTACGGGCGGCCAGGGTTCGGATCCCGGGCACGCACCGATGCACCGCTTCTCCGGCCATGCTGTGGCCGTGTCCCACATACAGCAACTAGAAGGATGTGCAACTATGACGTACAACTATCTGCTGGGGCTTTTGGGGGAAAAAAATTAAAAAAAAAAAGATTAAATCTCTGCAGGTCTGATTCTGTGTAAAATCGATGATGAAGAAAGAACTTTAGACAAGAATAACATTTTAGAGCTGAAGGGAATCGTAATGACCATCTGAACCCATTCATCTTGTTTTGAAAACAGAGAACAGAGGCCCAGAGGAGTTATGTGACTTTCAAAAGATCACACAGCTATTTCCACCACATCAATACCAACAGGCAGTGAGTGTCAGTGGCAGTACATAGTGGAAGAATACAGAGGAGGATAGTGCATTCGTTTTCTATTCTTCCTGTAACAACCACAAACTTAGTAACTTAAAACAACACAAATTTGTTATCTTACAGTTCTATAAATTAGAAGTCTGACATATGTCTCCCTGGGCCAAAATCAAGATGTTGCTAGGGCTGCATTCCTTTCTGGAGGCTCTAGAGGAGAATCCATTTCCTTGCCATTTCCAGCTTCCTTGGCTGATGGCCCCCTTCCTCCATCTTCAAAGCCAGCAATGTTGCATCTCTCTGACCATCTTCCCATAGTCACATCTCCTTGATTCTAAACTCAACTGGGAAAAGCTCTCCAAATTTAAAACCCATGTAATTAGATTGGGCACACTCAGAAAATCCAGGATAATCTCCCCCATCTCAAAGTCCTTAATGTAATCACATTTGCAAAGTCCCTTTTGTCATGTAAGGTAGCATATTCACAGGTTCTGAGGGATTAGGGTGTGGACATCTTTGAGGGGCCATTTTCTGTATGCTATACATGGGATTGTGCTTCCCCGTAGTAGTAGTTAACTAGTGCTGAGTAACAAATTATCCCAAAATTTAGCAACTTAAGACAACAACCATTTATTATCTCACATTGTTCCTGAGGATCAAGAATCTAGGAGCAGCTTAGGCTGGATGGTCTGGCTTAAGATTTCTCATGAGGTTGTAGTCAAGATGTTGGCTGGGGCTGCAGTCATCTATAGACTTGACTGGAAGGATCCACTTCCAAGATGGCTCATCTACATGACTGTCGGCTACAGGCCTCACCACTTAGACCTTTCCAAAGGGCTGCTTGACTTGGCAGCTGCCTTCCCCCAAAGTGAGTGACCTGAGAGAGGGAGCGGCAGGATGGGAGCCACAGTGTCTTATAACCTAAGCTCAGGACTGACATGCCATCACTTCTCCCTGATTCTGTTGGTCACATGGACCAACGTGGTACAGAGTGGGAGGGGACTGTGCAAAGATGTGAACACTGAGAGGCGGGGACCTTTGGGGTCCATGTTGGGCTACCACATGTTGTTGCTTATAAAAGCTTAGCGGGTCAGTCCAGTATTCACGTGAGAGAATGATCCACCATGCCCCCAAGTCCAGAGCGCCTTCTCCTTGCCCTCTATCTGAGCTGCTCTCCTCCCTCAGGCTCCTTGCCCTCCATCTGGGCTGCTCTCCTCCCTCGGCTCCCTGCCCTCCATC